CAGGTTGAATTCACATTCCCTGACTTTGTGACGGAGGGAGCCAGGGACCTCATTTCAAGACTGTTGAAGCATAATCCAAGCCAGAGGCCAACTCTAAGTGAAGTACTTGAACACCCCTGGATCACAGCAAATTCATCAAAGCCACTGAATTGCCAAAAAGGCAAAGAGTCAACTAGTAAATAATCATAATCGTGCAGGGAGAGAAGTGTTGAACCAGGGCTGCTATATAGTCTTCAGGAACATGCTGCTGAGACTCATCTTACCTACCTGCCTTTGACCTAAAGAGAGCACTATGGGAAATGTCACGTGTCCTGCTGAGCATGCAGTGCCTCAGCCTCCCTGCCCAGAGAGCTCCACTGTAGTAACCATACCCTTCAGAGGGAAAGCAGCCACAAGTCGTGCTGCTTTTACGGGTTTCGCCTGTAGCTGTCCCCACAGCTGTGCCAGGCAAGGTGGCCTTGCAGGAGACAGACTGGGAGTCTGGTTGTGAAGAAAAGTGACCACTTTGCCCTGAGTCGGCTAAGGAGCTGTATAGCAACCTTCAAGTACCTGAGTGTCTGTGTTAACTTATTGGGTGGTCAAGCCTGGGAAAGCTGTTGGAATGAATATGTGACTTCCTTTTAAATGTTAAAATAAAGGTTTTTATATCGTTTTTTCCTTCCATGGCATCTCCTTAGATTCAGTGTCTGTCAGCTTTATTAAGTCTGTGGTTTCTTGTCCTCCTTAATACTGTGTGATATAGGAGTTGTTTCTAAATGTTAAGGGCTTTTTTTTTGGGGGGGGGTGTCTAGCTGTAGTGCATGGTTAATTAATATTTTCACCACCTGTTCATTGTGGTGAACAGATTATGCTCCAGGTTAAATTCACATTCCCTGACTTTGTGGCAGAGAGAGCATATCTCACCCTCTTGACTGTTGGATAGTCTGTAGTTCCTGGTGTCCTCTGTCCATCAACCAAAGATAAGGTGACAGCAATGAAGGAAAGGTGGAAGTGTTTAACTTGGACTCAGTAGAGAAATGTTGCTTTCATTGGTGAATCAAGGCAAGAGACTAGATTTCAGATATGTCAATGTGGCCAGCACAAAGAAACTTCCACATCTAAGTGACAAAGTATTAGGCTTCAAAACATGACTGAGTGAAACTGCAGAGGTGAGCCCCTTAAGGCAAGCCACTCTGAGACCAGAGTAGTAACACTTCATGTACAATCCAGCCCCGTCTGTCTCAGTGCCATGCGATGGCAGTGATGCTAAGTATGCTCAGGATGTTTCCCCAGCACCGTAGCTCACTGTGGCAGCTCGTTGGCACCCTGGTCAGTGCTGTTTGTGATCAACAATCATGGTTTACCAGAAAACAAAATCTTCAGAAACTTTATTTCACAGAATTGAAGCGTTTTACTATGTCAGATTAAAAAATCAGGCAAACAGCTTGCATTTTTAAAATAGTTCAGTCAGTTTCATTCCTTTTGTTCCATTAAAAACAATGTAAATACAAGCAGTCTGTACATCTTGCTGGTGATTGCTTGGTTTCCCTGATCCTTTGATCTTGTTCTCTTTTTTTTTTTGTCTTGGCCACAGGAGTAGAATGGGATTGGGGGTGAGGAAGTGATATGGCTATTTGTTATGATTTGTATTATTGCTTGTTTTTTCCATTCCCATTACTGGCAGATTTAAACCCTTAGTTCTGTAAGGCTTTTGACTAGTGTTTTTTTTTTTTTTTT